GTACATCTGCCATGCAACGTTGCCCGATCGCCAGCCCAAAACCACGGCCATTTAAAAAGAAATCGACCAACGACAGAAGGTTTGCGGGAGCTTCTGAGGGCAACGCTGCAATCGTTGATTGTCAGTGCCCTTTTCTTATGGATACAATAGCCTGGATCTCATGAGTGGCTAATGCTTGTAATAATTATCTTCATTAAAGTTGAAAGTAGATGGAATGCCCAGATTTATGTAAAATCGTTGTTTCCAGACAGAGTGGACCTATTTATTACCGAAATTTTTGACAAATTCGAGTTGGCCGATTTCAAGGTTTTTGATGTTTAAATATGTACCACAGAAGAATCTTGGACCAACGTATAATATCTAAAGGTACTTTTCATCAAATTCAATTACCCAGTGTGTCACAGGGGTTTCACGTAAAATATCGATATAACGTTATTAAAAATCGGTATAACTACTATGTAGTCGATAGCTCATTCCACACCTACTCGCTATGAGCGTCACGTATGGAAGAGTGACCCAACGACCGTCATTCCGACATTAGTATAGAACATTCCTGTTAAAGTCATATAAGCGTTAAATGGTCTCCGCCAGTGCCATCTGCAAAGCAGATATTACATCACATCAGAGCCAACGTATACAGCTCAAGTTCCAAGGTGACATTTTTTCGGAAAAAGCTACATAATGTCATTGAAAATCGATATAACGGCACTTTTTAGGTTAAACGCAATATGGTTGTCGTTAACATAATGGTGTATATTTTGTGCTGCATGGGATTTTGGGCTACTGGCCCTTATCTGATCTGTGCGAGCCTAAGTGTAAAGAACTACGTCCGCCCACTGCACAGAATGATTGATGGAGTCTAAGCTGTAACACTTGCATCTCGTTAATAGTGTTAATTCAGTCATCAATATTATTCTGGGAGCCGAAATCTGACGAGACTAACTCGAACAGATTAAAGGTTCGTTGCCCATCAAAGCCAGCTGGTCTTTAATAAGTTTTGTTACATTTCCATTGACGGTTGATTTCAATTATGTGGTTTTCCGTTGAAGAGGAAAAAAATATATGTTTACATTTTTTATGTAAGTGTTGAAGATTTAACGACTTTTTTATGTTCTCCTGCTGGTTGTTATTTGATTGCGTGACCACGGTGAAATCATATTCTTCCTGAAAACTTATTCGAACCCTTATAAAATACCCTCGAATATAGTTGAGCTTAGATGTTGTAGACAGATAGTTGTTTTAAGACTATGCTGTCCTTGACTTTTTTAGAACAATTCAGAAGATATAGGACCAACAAAAGAAAATTTATTCTTATTAGCAAAAATCACATTTGAAGCTTCTTAATCTAAAAATTGTTCATAATTCTCACTTTCGGATAGAATGTAAAGCCTCATTCTTTATTACCCTAAATCTCATATCTCTCAAATTTTCTACTGAAGTATAAATTCTGATATTCAGCATGCCATAAGCAAAATATGGTAGCATGTTTTCAACTCATCCAACACCCTGTAACCTTAGTAAATTATCACCCTCCCCTGATAAACGCTGTGTGTGCGATGGCAGCGCCGCCTAGTGCCCATAATTATTCGGGACTCGAGACTAGATGTTTGATTACAATTTTCGGCTTGCTTTTTACTGAAAATGAGAATACTTAAAAAAAATTGTGTGTCGTTGAAAATATTAAATGCGAATGTGCGGCGAATACAAACATGTTGCTGCTTTGATACATTATATCAATACGTAAGAGAGCTTTCCAAAAACAAGCATCGAACAACAAGTTATATTGAAAATAAAATATATTCAATAATATCCTACTAGGTTATGTTGCTTACTTTTTTCTCTTGACATCAACTTTCCATTTCTTTCTTTGCTCTTATTTCCATGTTGCTGTAGGAAACGTATAAACGGCCAACACCCATTTCGCAGATACGTACGAATAAATATCTCAGGATATATCAAAGCACGCCCAACAGCAACTTACTTCGCAATGTATTACATGTATATGCATTTTATTGACAAATGACAAATAATAGTCATTATTAAATTTCATGATGTTTCGTTGCTCATTCACTTAGATCATTCTGTGTGCTTGCTGCAACAGCTTAACGCAGTTTTCCTATTGAAACGTAAAATTTCATATTCAAATCACGATATTCATTCACCCTTCGTTGGCGCGACATAGACGTTGATTGAATTTTATTTACCAATAATGTTCCAAGCGTACCTACGAACCTTTCCTAATGAATCGCTGTTATATAATGCCAGTCGTTTAGGCCTTGAGAATATGGAATAGACGCTGAATTTTACAAATTAACCTTTTATTCGAATAATTTTGAATAATGCGATCACCATCTGGTGTACGGCTATTCATTCTATGAGGTTTTGCATAATTTTGCAATATGCGGATAAGTCATTGTTTCGAAAATGTATGTCGTAATAGAACTGAAGGTTGTCTTTGTCTAAAATTCAGACATATTTTACGCATTGAGGCATATTAACACCGCACCAGTTTTTCCGGAAGTATTGTTTTCGATCTTAAGAAAATTAAATGATTATGAATCATCACTCTGCCATGTATTCTTCCCAACGGCGATGTCCAGTTATGTATGTTCCCGCTAGGCAGCGCTTGTGTGGAACGAAACAGATTTTTGATGTTTCATGACATCGCGTTTTGATGTCTATGACTTGAACAGCTGAAAATTTCCCCTACAATTATATCATCGGTAGCTACACCGTTGTCTAGCAACAAATAAATAAAGAGAAGTATTTTTTATATCGGCGGAAAACATTTCAAAATGGTCTAAACAAATAATAATTACTAAAAACAAATATAAATATTAATCAAAGTATGCAATTTGAGAATAGTTTGTCCCTGAAAAAATGAATTCAGGGATAAACTATTCTTAAATTGCACACTTCGACCATCTTGAGTTTTAGATAACAATGTTTTTCTTCATAATATTTATTCGAAAAAATTATTATTGCTTGATTCACTAAATCGTTAATTATATCAACGAGAAAAAAATAATCTTTTAATTTTTTTCTCTCTATTTTTTAAAATTGGAATCATTGTAAAATGTTTTTTGTTCTTGCACCCGAAAGATTATACGAGGTGAAATGAGATACCGTAGCGTCATCAGTGAAAATGTGTAACGGCTATCTTTCTCATCTCCTCAATAATTAGAAGCCTGCTTTGAAAATGTTAGTGTCTGGTAGATGGCGCTGTAGTTGTATGCTCATATATATATTATATATATATATATATGATAGGTGGGTGAACATCTGTTTTGAGACAGTTCCTAGATGATAAAAATATACTGACTGAACCCACTGAATAATGTTTGTGTTGATACTGTTTACTATCTGATCTGGACAGTAAAAGAATCCAATATAAAAAACAACAAAATGTTTCTAAATGTTTATTACACAAATGAAATCTTTATTTGTATAAATATAGTTCTAGTGGGCTTTTAAGCAAAGGAACGCGATGGGCATTTACATTTAACCTAACCTAAATATCTGCGTCTATTTTGGAAATGGAAAATGGGTTCGTAGACACCAGCGGCACAGGCAAATCAAGCCGTTATCTTTTAATAAACCTCCGATGTGTGAATCTAGTCCGTTTGTTATTTTGGTTTATGCCATGCCTGTGACGTGTGGTGGAGTAAATAATCAGTTATTTAGTATCATCGTTGAAATGTTGATGGCCTTAGTTTGTCACTGATTCCTGGTAAACTTGCAAAATCTTTCAGTTCGTGTAAAAAAATAACTACAGAGTCATGATAATACTGATTTGTGTTAGATTAATAAAAATGTCAGTTTCTAAGTAGCGGGATAATATAAAGTAGTATTATTGATTAAAGTATTCTTCCTGACAATAGCTAACCATATACTGGATTCCGGCGTATCAGTAGGAACCTCGCTTCATCTTTGGTACTATGCTACTACAGCAGAACAAACAAATTAATTTTGAAATATACTTCAAAAAGAGTTATAGTGTTTGATCTGTGACTGTCTCTTAGATGGAGTTAGTATCATTCAGATTCCTTTTTGGATGCCGGAATATATATTATCTTGAATAAGGTTTTACTACATGATGTACTACAGGTAATACGGTTTTTGTAACGTAATAGTTTTTTCTCTGTTATTCCAATGATTATGTTATGTATATTAAAGGTCGCATATTCCTTTTTTCCATCTGCCCGTTTGGAGCAGGATTCTAAATTATTTCCTTCATGGCGCTATAGAGACGACTAAAAAAATATTTTTTTTGTCAAAAAACACATTTTTGTGCATTTTATTGTGCATGTTTTCTTCAATCATAAATTGTATGTCAAAATTTCACTTTTTTAGTAGAATTGAGGAGGTGATTACTTTTATTTGTATCACTTTTTCTCTTCGAAAAATCTTTGATTCTCTTGGAAATTTTGCAGCAAATTGCGTTTTCAAGAAAAGCAAAGATTTGTTGAAGATAGAAAGTGATCAGAAAAAAGTAGCTTGCCCGCTTAATTCTTCTATCATAGTGGAATATTCACATACAATAATTAGTATGTATGTAGTAGCAGTAGTTACGATTAAAGAAAATTTGCACAAAAAATGAATCACGAAAAGTATCACGAATACTCCTCCAGACAGGCTAGTTCTCCTTGGAATTAAAAAATACTGTTATGCATGGAATTATCGCAATTTTAATAAGATCAATTAGTCACTGCATTCCTGGTTAATAATTAATTACATATGAAATAATGCCTATTAATCCTTCTAGGATAAAATTTTCACATTTTACTGCAAAGTTGCTCTAATAACCTTCTATTTTGTCCTATCGCAGTTTTTTTAATTTCAAAAGAAGATTGCGTTTTACTCGAATACAAAGAATGTATCTTTGAATTATCGTTGCATTGTACTTATAAACGCAAAATTGAAAATCCAGCTTGAGCGATTTTGTGGAGGTTGCATTGCAAAGCTAATATAATTATTACATGTTTGTTTTTTTGTTCTAGGTAAGTCAACATCTTGAAAAAAATGCCTCCCAGCTATGGTAAGATGCAAAAAGTCTCATTAACGAATTTAGGGTATCCTTATAATTCCTTATTTCAGTATATCCGGATGGACCGACGCATTTACCAAATTGTGAAGAACTATTTCCTTACGACCTCTGATATTATAAATGAAAGATTATCTGGTCGAATTCATTGATTAACTAAACGAAAATCGATTTATATCCAACAGTTGCTGTCACGCTATCCATAAAAACAGATTTTCAAGATCGATAAAAAATAATATTTTTTCATCTTATCATATTCTACATAGCTATTTCCTTTCATCTATTTCAAGATAAATTGCCAAATATAGAATACATATGATGGCTTTGTTATGCTCACAAAAAACGTTATACTTTTCATCTGGATAACATGACATGACATCCTAGACAATTTATCAATTCCTTGAAATGAAGTAAGGATATAACAGTTCACTGTTCCTTATCTACTCGTACAGCAGAAATTCGATAACTATCTCTTTGGGTTTCGCGTACAAGTCGACTAATGTATTCCATTTAGTATGGGGAGCAGTTTATCATGTTGAAAAAGTATCTAACGCAGATGTGTGACAGAAGAGTAACCTTATTTCTGGTCGAGTTAAATTCTATGCCTGAATGTTGTAATTTACGAGCATTATTCACCCAAATATTCTATATTTTTCTTGCTATTGGAATTTTAATTTTTTGTTTCTATTATGAAGGACGAGTAATCAAAAGAGATGCATTTTTCGTTATAATAAGAATTTGTTAATTTGAAAACTAGCATATATAAAGTTTTTCATTCATGTTGGATTATCGTGCTTCTGATTATTATAGTTTGTTGTTATATTTTCCTGATGACTATATCATTCTTTTTTCGAGATATCTTTGTTCTCCTTTTTCTTGTACCTTTTCAAATTGTCAAGGCTGATTTACGGTACAACTACGAGTAGAAGTTTTTAAATTAGAATAATAACTTTTCCGACAAGACTTGCGTGTAGAAACAAATGTTTGCCTCCCTGCCTAATACATACGTTAATCCGTCTTCTTCCAGTAATATTTCAGAAGCAAAAATAACCTGGCATGCTTTAAGTAGCTCAAGTGCGTCGTCAGTCAGTTCCAAACACAAAATAAATAAAATAAACACCCGTACATATACCAACTATCTAACTCTTAGAGATAATCTAAGAAACGTGTATTTCTGTTCGCTTTAAATTCATCTTGGAAATAACGCTACACGACGAACGAATGGTTACAAAACAGGATCCAAATGACAAAATGCGAGGCTCCCAGCCAAGCCGGATTCGAAAATGCCAGACACAGAAGACGAGACGACCTAATTTTGTTTTTCCTGTTATTAACAGTATCTTGACTTTTCACATTAAAATAGATACACCAAAGTGCTATGAGAAAAATTGTATCTATGATTTTGTATCACATGAAGGTCCCATTGGATCGATGTCCCCAGGGGTCTTTCAATACTCAATTTTACACTGCGCCAAACTGGGTAATGATGATACGACATGGTAGAATTACCTATATGTTGTCCATAAGAAGCTGGATTCTCGCATTGTCAGTATACATAAGGCAGTTCGAAAACCAAGTTCTTAACTGTTTCATTCTCTGGGTCACATTTCCTTCAACAATAATGAGTGGCTTAGCCTTGATAAAGGTACTTCTTTAGCGAACGTGTGTCAGTAGCCAGTAGCGAACTGGATCGGGTCCTAGTCAGGTATCATTTTTTATACTTTCTCTAGAAAATATAACACCGGCTTTTCATGACTATGAGGGTGTATTCTTTTGATCGATATTCCGATAGAAATCCTGGTTTAAAATAATGACGGTATCTCCAAGGCCTATAGTAGATTAAAATTCGTGAACGAAGAGCCGTGCTAGTTGGTGATTTATAATTAATGTAATTTATATTTTCGGCAATGCGTTGATAACGTAAGGAATTCTTAAAGTTTTTTTTCATATATTATACTACAGATGATCGTTTGTAGTGACTGTCGACCGATTGTCCAATTGTCATTTAAATAAATTAATTTTACAATGTCAGGTATCCGATACAATGTTGAGGCCGATTGCATAATGATTACTTTCGGTTTTAGCGGAGCGAGCATATTCATATTTGTCTTTGCGTTTTTATTGATTATTCATTAAATTACGATTTCGTAGTGGTTCGAGTGCATTGGAATTCAGATTCTTCTGAAAACGGATGACTCTAGATTATAGGTCATTCAGATGAGATCGTTCGTTTTTATCACAGTATGTCGTGTACAAAATTGTATTTAATAACGTAACAGTCTCCGTTCACGAGATAATCAAAGATCTATAACGGCGTGAATTATCAACAATGGTCTAAAATGACATTTTGGCCCTTTCTCATTTCGATTTGATCAAAACCGGAACAGCTCTAAGTTATACAGCTTCTACTTTGTCATACATTGTTTCTCTCTGTCTCTCTCTCTCTCTCTCTCTCTCTCTCTCTCTCTCTCTTCACTTCATCACTGAAAGCGATTATGTAGTTATTTCTTGTTGATTTATTATTGCTTCTCGTTCACATACACCATATTTCCTAGCCATAGTCATTCAAAGCAAACTTTATGCTTATAGTATACGTAATTTGGATGTGTTTTATTCATATTTTTATCTTTGAATTCTATCTCGGTCCCCTCCAAAAGTGCATACATCAACATAAAACGTTCAGCGACCTTTGTCTCTAAATATCCGGACCTTCCACTTTAAAAATGAAATTGGTATTTCTAGGGCAGTGGGAAGAAGGTATTTATATGGGATTCCTCGTTCATTCAGCTTCCATGAATCTGCATAACCATATATGATATGGTGTGATCAACTAATTTTAAGTTTGGGAGTACTTACACGATGCTTACTTAGGCTTATCATGTATCTTAGACATTTTCTGATGTGATGTTCTTCTCCTTTGGTGTTTGACCCTCATATGGAGGCAGTTTTTCGCATAAGACATATCTTATACATAAGATATGTATATATAAATACAAAATCTTATACATTATATCTCTTGGATCCCTTAGTTCATATAATCAATCTGATTTTCAAAACGGGCAAAGTACCTAAACAATTTAAAATATCGGTTGTATCACCTATTCACAAAGCAGGAGATAAAGAATATATAAGTAATTATAGACCAATAAGTATAATCTCAAATTTAGCAAAGATATTTGAAAAATGCCTTAAGGTTAGATTGGTTGCATTCTTGGACTCAAATAAGTTGTTATCTGAGAATCAGTTTGGTTTTAGACAAGGTTTAAGCACATCACATGCGGTTTATGAATTAGCGTCTAAAATAATGTATCATTTAAATAACGGTGATAAGTGCATCGCTTTGTTTTTGGATTTAGCAAAGGCATTTGACACGGTATCTCATCCTATGCTCCTCCAAGCACTGGAGGGACATGGAGTTAGGGGTGCTGTGTTAAGTGTATTTAGAGATTATTTAATGTATAGGATTCAGTGTGTCAGGATTGCGGACGTTCTAAGTGAACCTAAGACGGTTCAGCATGGAGTTCCACAGGGTACAGTACTTGGGCCAATTCTTTTTAATATGTATGTAAATTACCTCTGCAGTCTTGCAGTTGATGGCGATGTAATTGCCTATGCTGATGACACTGTGGTGGTGTTTCATGGAGAGACATGGGAATCAACGGGTGAAAAATTGAAGACTAATTTTGCAAAAATTAAAAACCTTCTGGACACATTTAAATTAACTCTGAATATAAAAAAAACTCATTACATTGCCTTCTCTATAACCATGGCTAATAGACCAGCATTTAATCAAATTAAACTTGATAATATTGATGAGCCTTTGAAAGAAGTAAATGAAATTAAATATTTGGGGGTTGTTGTTGATAAGCACTTGAAGTGGGACCGACATGTGCTGTATTTGAGCAAAAAAATTAGATTTTTCATTCATAAATTCTACGCTCTTCGTAATATACTGAACATTAAACTACTATTAATGATTTACAAAGCACTTGTGGTGCCACTATTGGTATATGGCATAATTGTGTGGGGTGGGATGTACGGTTCAAATCTTGGGCAGCTAAAAGTGGTGCAGAACCATATTGTAAGGATCATTCTAAAAAAACCTAGACTATATCCCACTATGCAACTTTATTCACAAGAAATAAACAATATTAAAATCTTATATATCCTTGCAGTATGTAGTTTTGTACATGCAAGTAAGAAATTAAATACAAATTATGTATCCCACAATTATATGACCCGAGCAAACACCACTCATAACCTGAACGTCCCGCAGTCCAGGCGAGATTTAAATTTGCGTTTTGTGACATATCTTGCACCTAAATTTTACAATTTGATTCCTGCTAATATCAGGAATATTGGAAATAATAAAAAATTTAATATTTCGTTTAATATGTTCTGTTGGGAAAATCGTGAACAATTTATGCGTCTATTTTAAGTTGCTTTGAGGTAGTTTGATCTGCCTATTTGTTCCATCTAATTCTTTTTGATATTATTGTGACTTTTTTCTGTGATCTTAAGTTAAATCTATTACTTACAAAAATATGAAATTTTCTTTCATTTTGTCTATATCGTGTATCATGTTTTGTTTGTACAGTTGAGTGATTTTATACAAAAATATATATTGCACGATATTTATCAATTAATTACTGTTTTGGTCTGTTTTTGCGCATACAAGTTTTTAAACTTAGGCGCTCATATATTATAGAGAAACCTTGTTTTTGTTTCGTTAATTTACAGATATATATTATTTTTATATTGGTAAATTTTGTGTTCTGCTGAATAAATGTGGTAGAGTTTCAGGGCGTACTGTTCTCTCCAACAACAACTATAAGATTTTATGTATAAGATTTTACAACTTTGCTGTTCGATTACCACAAACATCTACACTTTATGTTCAACCTTGAAATCGGTTTAATGTCAATCATGTTGAAATGTGCGTACATTGGTTTCGACTTGCGATTTGGCGCTATTTACTACTACCATAACTTTTTCAACAACAATTAAAATGTTACTATAAAAATTAACTATTTTTCTTATCAAACTGGAGCTTATGCGACTCTGTAACAGTTACAATATTATGTAATCTACATATGTAAATGATCTTTATAAAATACTACGCATGAAGTATTATTCGTATTTATTTCTAAAGGACATAATAAATTCATTCATGATGCTTGTCAATATATATACTAAGTGACATATAAATCCGAACACCCAGTTTAAATGGTTTTATTTTAATAAAAGTTGGTGGATGCATTTATCTTACTGTATATAACAAGTGAACAAATTTTCAGCCTTATCAGTTGGACATTCCGGTTTTTATACTGCTTTTTTTTAATTCACTAACGCTCTAAAAATGAATATTACAGCCGCAGTAAAGAATCAACGTTGGCGGATTTTGGTTCTTGACATCCTTTGCGATCGGTTACGATGCCTACAGTACGGAGACCTGTACGATTTCGTCAACTTAGTGAGTTTGATAGGGGCCGTATAGTGGGACTTCGGGAAGCTGGACTTTCTTTTCGGGCAATTGCAGTTAGAGTGCAAAGAAGTGTAGACACTGTGGTTAGGTGTTGTCGGGCATGGCTTCGAGAAGGCCGTACGCAAAGAGCAAGGGGCACTGGACGCCGCCGTAGAACAACAGACCGTGAAGATCGCCGCCTAAGATTATTGGCCTTAAGGGACCGTTTCTCCTCTACCAGGTCCATTGCAATTGAATGGTTTGCAGAACACGGAAGACCTATTGGCATGCGAACTGTTTACCGACGAATGAGAAGTTTTGGCTTGTTTTCATACCGGCCACACTGGGTCCTCCCTTTACCTCGAGAACACCGACGTAATCGCCTTGAGTGGTGCAGACAACGGTCACTCTGTTATCAGGAATGGAACAGTATTGTCTTTAGTGACGAGTATCGATTTTGTTTAGGCATGCACGATGGTCGTGCCAGGGTTAGAAGGCGACGTGGTGAAAGGAGGAATCCACAGTTTTTTGTTGAAAGACATGTTCATCACACTGTTGGAGTTATGGTTTGGGGTGCTATAGCTTATGGTTCCAGGTCACCTTTAATCATCATCAGAGGTAACATGAACGCGCGGCGTTATATCCACGAAGTTCTAGAAGCCCATCTTTTACCCTATCTTGACACCCTGGCAGATCCAACTTTCCAACAAGATAATGCCCGACCACATGTTGCAAGAGTCACAATAGACTTCTTTTAACATAATGATGTCACATTGTTACCATGGCCACCAAGATCTCCCGATTTATCCCCAATTGAGCACGTGTGGGATATGATGGGTAGGAGATTACTCAATTTGCAACGTCCTCCTCAGACTCTAGAAGCACTTCGAGAGGAGTTGGTGGTTGCCTGGAATGAGATACCACAGGAGGACATTGACCACCTGGTCAGAAGCATGCCTAGGCGCGTTGGAGAATGCGTAGCACATCAGGGTGCATCCACACATTATTAAAGGTCAAAGGGCTTTAAAGCAGTGCAATCATTTTGAAATTTTTATCATTTACTTATTATGCTTCATTAAGTACTTATACAAAATTTTATTAAAATAAAACCATTTAAACTAGGTGTTCGGATTTATATGTAACTTGGTATACAAATAATAATAACTAATAGTACCGACATTAAAATGAAGATACGCTTGTTAAGCTTTTTGGTGACATGGAGAAGAATAATATAGTAAAAAAATCCCTAAAAACACGATTTGGAGAGATTCGAGATATTTTCAAAGATTGACATACCAGAGGAAAATGTCTTTTTATTAACCCATAATGTTATCAAGGAGTTTTTCAAATAAGACATGAATTGCGTATATTTTTTTACCATTCGAAAAATAAGTGTATCGTACCTTCTAGAAGGTCCAGCGGTCCAGAAATTAAAGGATAATCCTGCAACTGGAAATAGGTCACATCATGGGAAAGTGTTGTTTAGTCAAAAGTCTCATGATTTTTGAGTTATGCAGCAATAATTTTTTTTCAAAAATCCACACTCGTCTAGTTGCCATTTTTACAAAAATAAAATTTTCTAGGTGT